TGGTGAAGCTGAAAAGCATTTTGGACTCCTGGTAGGCCAGCAAAGCAGGAAAGGAGAAAAAGGAGGGAAAAGATCAGCATTAAATGCTGAGAGGTGGATTAGATGGCTCTAGTAATGTGTCTTGTCTTATTTTGAAGATTCACATTATTGAGTTGAACCCTCTCCTGCTTTCCTGATGATACACCTTTAGATTCAAATAAGTATTTTCAGGAGCAGTATTCTCCCACTGCTCTACCAGTGATGCACTTTTCAGAGGAGCATGTTTTTCAGTTGTCCTAATGCAGGATGAAACTTTCTCACTAGCATTATCTTTTCTTGAAGGTGGCTTGCTAGCAGACCTTGAAATGATCTGCAGAGACAAACAAAAAGATATGACAAACACAAAAGATATGACAGACTGCTTTTGGCAGAAATAAGCCTTCTCTGTTGTACTGACATCCAAGGTCAGGCATGCTCGTGTAACTCCAGTTACTTCTGTTTAGTTAAATGACCATCACTTTTTTTTCCCCAAAACCGTTAAGTAGGAGAAAAACCTGTAAACTTGACTCTTTCTTTTCCTCTGTGTGCTGCTTCCTGCGCATCTTGTTGTCAAATAGTCTAACAAAGTGTCTAATTTGGAAGGTATCTGAAGGCTGCTTATGGCTTCATGTAGACTTTATTCAATCCACGGACTTGGCTTTAAAGAAGGAGGACAAAATGCACAACATAAGGCACTTACTGGATAATCAAACCGCAGGCTGAATTCCCTGTTACTTAGTTTGTTTAATTGCTGGGAGAGGACAGGTACTATAATTTTATATTTTACTTAAAGAATTAAATGAGGTTCTCTGAGAAAAAAACAAACAAAAAAACCCCACCCAAACAACTATTTAAATGAATAGTTAAAGGCCTTTCTATTCAGTGGGATAGTGAGACCTCCTCACTGCTAGTTGATCTGCTGTGTAAGTGTTTGTGGCACTTAACTGTACAAAATGACAGTAGCCAGCACTGGACATAGTGCCAGCAGTGAAGTTCTGCTTCTTATTTTTCCCCCTAATGTACTCGAATTATTCCTTGTCATTTCACACTATGACTGCTGGCACAGTCATGGATCTGTGGAGTGAACCTCTATAAAAGGCCTTGGATTCCAGGCAGTGTAAATCCATAGAGAATTTAGTCCAAAGTTTTTGCAGATCTCGCTGCTCTAATTCTTGTTAGCCCCTTTAAGGAGGGAAAGCAAAGCAGTGGTTTTGTTCCTGGCCCTTTGTCTTTTTTGAATGGTTTTGGAGGATGTGCAGTCAGTGATTTAATTGACAAGGAACAGTTTTGCTGAAGTGAATTGGAGATTCACTTCCAGAAGTTTTTTCTTTTCTTCATCACCAGATAGATTCAGAAGTGTATCTTAGAGCAGTCAAGGAAGTCCCAGAAGAGAACAGGGAAGATGGTACAAACTATTCAACAAAGCATTTATAGTAGTGATACACTGTCAGAGAAGTGGTTTCGCTGAGTCCTCCTACCCTGTGACAAGGCAAAATCTAGCTGCTAGTGATCTTGTGGGTAGCTCAGAAATCCATGCTTTTGTTGCAGACCCCTTTTGTCTCCATCACCCGCATAGAACTTCTAGTGAAAGGAGTCACTGGTGTAATTTGCTGGAGTAAGCGACCCAGGTGTGAATGGAACCAATGTTTCAGAGCGCAGCTTAGTTCAAGGAAAATATCTCTTTTTACTCCAAAGTGTTTGCAAATCAGTGTGTTAAGATTTCAGGCTGTAGATAAATGTAACAGTCAGAAACTACCTTGAAGTGAAACAATTCAATTGGAATAGCCTATTTAGAAACAGTAGTACATGAAATGTTGTCTGCAAAATGAGTTCACATCTCTGCAGCTGCTTTGCAAAAATAAATACATAATCTCCTTTCCTGCTTTCAGACAGAAAAATCAATTCAGTTAATAGCCAGACTGACACACAGGGCATTTTTTCCTGTTATTCTCCAGGATGGTGAACTGGTCTTGCTGGATGGTGGTTGTGAGTCTGCCTGCTACGTAAGTGACATCACACGTACCTGGCCTGTCAATGGAAGGTAAGCTGTGATACGGCTGTTTGGAAGATCTTTGAGAAGCTCTTAAATAATTGATGAATTGAGTGTATGTGTGTTTAATGTCTGTGTGAGTAGTTTTAACTTGTCCCATTCTGTGGTTCTTCAGAGTAATCAAATTATATAAAGTAATCTTTCAGCATGAGAAGCTCTATTCCCCACTGCCTCATTAATTGCTACATGAATATGTGTGATTACTGCTATTTCCAGCTATTACAGCATACTTAAAGTGCAGAGAGAGCTGTTGTGCTTTCAGCTGCGGCTGACTTTGGTCATCTGTAAGAAAGCAGAGTTTAGTTGACCTGTACATGGTTCTGTCATTTGTGAATTTGGTGGTGTGATGTGCTCTGGTTGTGTGTTTAATTCTGTATGTTTTGGCTCAAGTGCATTCTTTTCCCTGCGCTAGCTTTCCCAGACAAGGCGTCACGCAAGATGCCATTCAATACACTGGGCATTTCATGAAAGGAGCCAGTTGCTTTCCTTTCTGACTTTTCCTGCTCCAACATTGAACTAAATCCATCCCTAGAATAGGTTCTAGAGGTTTCATTGTGAGAAATGTCCTTTGTTCCTTTTCTCACTGGTTTTCAGGTTCACCAGCCCCCAAGCAGAATTATACCAGGCTGTCCTGGATATCCAGAAATCCTGCTTGAGCCTCTGCTCCCCAGGCATGAGTCTAGAAAATATCTACAGCCTCATGTTAAGTCTTATTGGACAGAAACTGAAAGAGTTGGGGGTCCTAAAGGGCAGCATCACTGACAGCCACTTCTTCAAGGTACTTGAAGTTTTCGTACTCCAGCTTCCCTCTACTAGACCAGCCTGTTTTCTCCTTGGGTTATCTTAGTGTCCTTAGTTTGCCTCAATAATATGCTTTAGAGATGCATCTTCAAATCGTAGCTGCACATTGTGCTTTAGTTCATGTTTGGGGCTGATCTCAGCACAGGATTGGATTTCTCTCAGACAAAATTGAACTTGAAGATGTGTTTCAACCATCCTGTGCAGAGTTTGGTCTGAAGTAACCCTCCAGTCTTGTACACACACTGTGTGAATATTTATTCTTTAGCACTTGCCATTTCACTCTGCAGATCCATTCCCGTTGGTCTGCACTACTTGTTACTGTAGATGAAGCTTTAAAGTACAGACCATTTGAAGGGACTTACAGAGATACAACAATAACACAAAATTCTGGGTCCAGGGCTGTCAGCAGGCAGTTAGTCACGGTTTTGTGGTCTGTGTAACAGCATAAATCTGCAGTGCCACCAAAAAGTGCAGCCCATCCTTCTCTGTCATTCCACCTGCTGCCTCTTCTGCACCACTTTGTGTCAGTATTGGGCTTTTCAGAGCTACCTGGTGTACAAGACTGGGAAACTGGTCTGCCTTAGAGCTGGACCTGCAGCTAAAATAGGATTGGTTTGCAGTTAGAGAAGTTTATTTCCAGTCCCACGCGCTGCAAACCTGCATAATTGCTGATGCCAGTACAAGAAAGGTGGCAGAACCAGGTGACAGAACTACCCTTTTGGCAGCAGGACAGATTTCTGCCAAATTTAATTGCCCTGCAGTGTCAGTGCAATAACAGCACAAGTTCTTGCCTGTGAACAGAGGCTATCATACCGATTTTTCTCGGCAGGTGACAGCACAGCCAGATGAGACCAGTGTCTGTAGCTCAGTCCACAGTGAATGTGAGGAGCAG